GCTATCGGGCAAATTAAGCAGGAAAATTGCTGTTCAGTTCAAAGTGGGACAAATTTGCAACAACAAGCCCAGGAATAAATGTAAACAAAACGTCTATAGAAAACGGTTGAGGTAGAGTCAACTTTGTATAAAATAGAACGGTTCAGTCTTGAGACTTGAGCAGTAACGGAAGGGTGATAAGCTAGCTTGAGGATTAGGGAAACTCATAATTAACACCCACACATTCCCTTGGCTGCAAAGACGAATAAATTTTCTAACTGGCTTCAGCCACCTCTTAACACGGGTTCGATCTGACCAGCTGATCCCCCATTTAGACATAACCACCCCGGTTTTGCGAAATCCGTATTCTTCTACATGTTCAAAGGCCCTGTGCATTAGCACATGCCTCAATTGGCACGATCCACGAAAGTTGGGATATAAACTTATTGTTATTATTACCGCTTGGTGGAAAACATTTTAACACCTGACTTCCCCCGACATTGACGTCAGTGAGTCCACTCAGTTTCAGTGTTTTAGTTTTTGAGACCGATATGGCGTTTGTCTGAACTTTGAATTTCTCCATTTATTCATCTCCGATTGTGCTTTTCGTGACCCTGACCGTTTACTAAACCGCCCGAACACTCATGGCCTGCAAATGGCTTTTCATTTTTAGTTAAGTTCAACTGGTTTAATCGTTGAGCTAGTCGCACCTCATTGCCCATTGCTCTGGTTTTCGTTTCACACAATCTACGATTACGGAATAACTGGCAGAATTGTCTTTTGGTCATACCTTCCCCCGTAGTATCGTTGTCCCCACGTTTACTTTGTAACGACTGACCATGCCTCAATTGTCATTCTGCCCACAAATCGAGAAATCAACGTACCACAACCTGAGCGTGCAAAAGCTAGCAGCGCAGGCGTTCGACAAGAAGAGCTATTCTATTTTCTATTTTCTATATCGCAGAAGGGGCAGTAAGATTCACATCGTGTCTTCAGGAGGAGGGGATATAGTTAAGAGGGTATATAGTTGAAAGAATAGTTGTCTGCCATGAATTCATCTGCATATTCGGTGATAGAGGATGTGGGAGAGACGCACATGGCGCTCAGTATTCAAACAATGGAATTGAATTTTCGAGAGCTATGACTTGTCACTAAAACAATCGGGCAGATGATTTCAAAGTACCAATTTAAACATTTGAGCCCACTTAGGCACCCCGAGGTCTCAGCGATGCTGGGAATTTGTTCCCCCAGACTTTTCCGCCAGAGGTATGGTTGCTTCATTGGACAGTGAAATTTGGTGAGCTGCAAAATATCAACGTACACTAGGATGGTTTTTGGTTTCAGTGCATACGCAACAAAATGGAACATCTTGGCGCAAAATGTTTTACTCTAGTCTTAACGGTTTTGCAGCTGAGAACCTTGTACGGCTAACGGGCCCTTCTAGGTGATGACCGAAAATTCCGATAAAGTTGGACAAATGAAGATGAGCAGGCAAGGCGAATTAGGTGGATAAATTAAGGAGAGTCTTGGTCTATCGAACGCTTGGAAGACAATGACAGGTTTGGTGGGATTGTGGAGGTATATGTTGATTGGATGTGGATTGGGGGATATTTTTCTCCTGGGCAGTGAGATGTAGTGAAACCTGTAGCCCGTATTCAGAGCATCATCTTAATCAGAAGCAGATCGTATAGGGAATGGCTGCCTTAGTCGTTCGTGTAAAAATGGGTGCAAAACTTCAGGATGAACGTTGCGTTAGCATCAAGGAACCGGCGGATTTTGACGTGTTGTTTTTTTGAGTTTCAAAGATTTTAAGCCATATCCAGATGCTGAAGGTCACACAAGAGTTGTCTACAGACGCAAACCAGGAGATGATAAGCAATATCCAATAGCGAAGCCTCAGGTGCTGTCCCTACTAGTGCGGATGCAAATGGAATGGTTAGATACTCAGAACGGTGGGACTGTTTTTTCTATTTTAGGATACCTGCATGAAGGTGGGGAAGGGAAAGTTGAGCGCAGTCAGGCTTAAGTGCAATAAAGGAGTGAATTTGACAACAAATGCACCCCACCCACTGGATCATCACTACGCGTTTGGAGATGAAAGTGGCCCTTCGATGCCAGGGACCAAGTCCACACGTATTGGTCTTACGACACCTGCTCAGCTTTAATTTCTCTAACTCAAACATTGGTGTACACGTGGATCATCCATTATCAACAATAGAACTATTTAATCAAGCGGAAGGTTTCCCTTTATACTAGTAGGATGTAAGAAGTTTCCTCACCGAGCTCATGAAAAGGATTGAAATGAACACACATTTTTCATTTTAGATTCATTACCGAGGGAAACCGGCTAAGCGAAAACTGAGCGAAGTGAGGTTCCGTTGCGGTAGTACCAGTCTACTCAATAAACAGGAACGTTTTGCCTATGGTGATTCTATAAATGAAAAATGT